CTGCTGTTTTCACTCAGAAGATATTAATTACATTTGTATTATTCTGCTGTGGGTGAGGTCTCCATTCATCTGATGGTCTCCAGGTTGAATTTCTCAGGATGTCCTCTGACAGGAAAACTCAACGTAGCATCGCTGATGTTCAGTGCTTTGTGCAGGTAGCCCGTCAGTGTAGCAATGCCCGTGGGGCGCTGAGCAGGGGCAGCAGTGATGCTGCGGAGTGCTGCCTCTGCCCTGGCTTTGCTTGTGATCTGATCTGCTCCCTGGGCGTGATGCAGGGTCCTGCAGGGACCACACACCTCACTGGGCTACCTCTGCTTTGTGGGACACACCTGGATGGAAGTTTTCACCTTTGGGTAGTCTCCTGATATTTTTATGTCTTCTGAACCAAAACTTGCTCAGGAAATTAAGCCCCATGGCATGTTCCTCCCATGCATGTGCCAGGATCTGAAACCAGACAAACTTTCGTACCTAGCTCATTTCCTAATTAGCTCTTTGGATAATAATCCAATAACATAAACAATTAATTAGACAAACTAATTCCCTTAAGAACAAAACAAAATCCCAACCCTTAAAAGTCAGAAATGAGCTGAGAGAGAAAGGCTGAGCCTACACCTTTAGCAGGGCGGCCGAGTGTTCCACTGTATGTCCAAACCAGTCACCTGCCTGAGTGTATGTCAGAACTTTCTTTGTTCAAGTGTGGAAAATAGGTGTAGTGTGCTACCATATTATATTGTGTGGTTTTGGTATAGACCAGTAAACACTGTGAGTGCTTTGTCTTACCCTTCTGCTTCTCTCACTCAGTGGAGCCTGTAGGGAATAGTGGGTGATTGGAAAGGGCATCTAGTTGGGGAAATATTGGACAGAGCTGGAAAGTTATGAACTGAGACCTCAAATTTAAAAAAAGAACTGGAGAAGCAGATTACACCTCCTTTTTTTTTTTTTTCCCACCACTTTTTTTGGTTTTGAAAAAAAAGAGAAGCCGCAAACACCAGGCAGGGCACCTGGGTGGGCTCACTCAGCACAACCCTGCTGCTCTAAATAAGAAGGATTAAGGTAGACAGGATGATCTCCCTGCCCGGTAAGAGATCCATCAGCTGTACCGAGAAAAAGGATTTGAAGGCACTAGGTTGTTGGAGTTTTTTGTGGTTAGTTGATGGGTTTTTGATTGAAAATTTTTCATTAGGTGAAACTGATGTGTTTTATGAAGAAAAAGAATCAGTCCAAACCAGGCTGCTGAATCATTGTCATTTGTTAAATAGGTGGGGTTTTTTCATAGTGGAAGGAAAGAAGAAAGAAACACAACTGTGAAAGACCTTTTAGAAGATTTAAGTGTTTATAAGTAGGCTGATAACAATAAATTGCAGAGTTGCTGACCCTGTTACAGATGATGCAGGTGAAATAATCCAACAGTTTGTGCTGTTTTTCTGTTTGCAGGGAAGCAATAAGCCGATTGTGTGAAGCTGTATCGGGTACAAATGGAGCTATAAAAAAGCGGAAGGTAAATACTATTTTAGCTCAACCATTAATTTTCTGTATCTGCTTTTGATAAGCTGGGTGTATGATTCCCTAACAGGCTTCAGCCTGAGCTGGAGCTAGTGCACATTAATCCTTCTGAGCTTGGTATAACACAAAAGTGCTTGTAGCAGGGCGTTTAGCCTGCTCAGCTTGGGGCTGGGGCCATGGTCAACCTTATTTTTTTCAGGATTAATGCTTTGCCCAGAGTTCCTGCTCTTACCAGCCTTTGCAGTGCCTGGTGCTTTACAAGTTTTTAGGGTCTGGCTGGTAAAATGTCAGAGGTTTTTTGTTGTTGTTTGCGTTTGGTTGTTTTTTTTTTTGTTTTTTCCCCCAATTTAAAAATGGAGCTTATTCACTGGAGGATTAGCTGATTATATATATCTATAAAAAATAAAACATAACTAAAATGGCACTTTTTAATGGGCTGATCACATATTAAATAACTGGGATGCAATGAGTGGCAACATCAGTGGTTGCAGTTGGGTTGTGTCCAGTGAAACTGATTCCCTTCTGTAACAATGGGGCTCAGGAGGAATGAACTTGCTCCTGAAAAATGAATACATGAGAGAAATTCTTGTTTTACTTGGCTTTGTTTCCTGGGGATGAAGCACTTCTGAGTTCAGCATTTTTTACCTGTTCTTAATTACTGAGCTAGATGTAACATTTAGCTCACTGAGATTTTGCTTTAAAACTTTTTCACCATTACTGACATAAAAACTATACCTACAAGTATTGTATTCAAAGCTGGTCTTTGTTAGAAGATCTGTTTGCCTTTGATTAAGCCATTATCCTTACTCCTTTGGAATTCTCAATAAGATATTGTAAAATCTACTTGACTTTTATATGTTTCTGCCTCTGACAGACTCAGCTGACAGCTTCTTTCTTTTGCTTCTTTGTTCAAAGCCTCCAGTGAAGTTTTTGTCTTCTGTACTTGGCAAAAGTAACCTTCAGTTTTCTGGCGTGAATATAAAGCTGACCATTTCAACAAGCAGCCTCACATTGGTTAATGTTGACACACAGCAGGTAGGATACATATAGATCAGTGTTCTTTTCTCCATGCTACTGTATTCTCCTCCTTTTGTGGCTTCTGAAAGAAAGGCTGGGTCCTTGGAAGGGAAAGCAGCACCCTTCCGTCTTCTTGTGCATGCCTGGTAAAGCTGAATTACATGATGGCTCTGAATTTAAAAATGAGAGCACTTTGGAGGATTTGAACATGCAGCATGTGCCCTTGTTGTCTGTGATGGTGTCAACCTTGGGGAGGGATCCATAAGCACTAGGCAACCTGTTCCTCTGTGTGTGTCTATGCCTTTACAGTGCCTAAAAACCAAGGCACTAGTCCTGACTGGAGTTTCTGACAAGTCCTAGGGGAGGGAAAAAAAAATCAGTCATGAGTCAGAGCTTGGCTTTGGGTGTTGTTCAAAGCTGTTTTACAGCTGGGTAATATACATGCATGATCTGTTACACAATGCAAAGTCTCTGGGCTCCATCAAGATGTGTTCCTCAGAGCCTGGATGTGTCCTGGAACTGGGGGAGTGCTCCCTTCTTGGCAGATGTGATGAGGAGCTTCATCCTGCCCACGTGATGCCTCTGTGGGCTGTTGGCTTCAGCTCCCAGTACATTCTCACCCAGGGCCCGCAGTGGGTTTCGCTCCAAGCTGGAGCAGGGGAACATCAGGGAGGTAGTTTTGGCTCACTGGCTCTGAGGAATCACTGCACTGAGCTGATGCTGTGCTGAGCATCAAGCAGCTCTTGGGGGCTTGTCTGCAGCACAGAGGTCTCCTGTCCCTTGGATCTTTGTGCTAGGAGAGTAAGGGTTCACAGCATCAGGTTTCCCTTCCTTTCAGGTGCAGCAGCAATGGGCTTCCCTACGGTGGGTGAAACACAGTGGGGGACTGGCAGCTAAAGTGGGGCCCCTCTAACCTGTTCCTGTTTGTAACAGGCCTAAAAGATGGCTGGGCAGATCTCCTTCCAAGTGCACTGATGTGCCTGATCACTACACACACGGACATGCAGGACACTGTCTTGGAATTCTTTCTAGGTCCTTCATTACTAGGCCTTTGCAAATGGAAAATCCTGTTTGTTCTATTCTTGTGCTGCCACCACGTTTCATTGTGTTCACACCAGACTGCTCCACTGTACTTGATTTTATAGGAAAGAACAGTTGGTCTCCAAAGATTGAGGTAGTGTTTGAAATCAAGAGAGGCTGATGCTTGATCTGACTAGTGTAATTTCTACCAGGTAGCAGTTTGGTGCTGGTGGTGAGAGAGAATATGATCAGAGTACCAGCAGAGCCTGTTTGTGAAACCATCAGCATTATATACACCAGGCATTTAAATAAAATGGTGTTTAATTTTAAAATAAATTAATATCTCAAGACTTTGGAACTTAATTGCTTGCTCTATGAAGGTACATGCTTTGCTGTTTTCTAAATGCGTGGCACATGAGCATGTTTAACCAGTTTGTCATGATTTTCAGATTATTGCCAACCATCACATGCAGTCCATCTCATTTGCTTCTGGAGGTGACCCAGTAAGTATTGATTTATGAAATATACTTCTGCAGGTATAATGAAATTATTATGAGAAGTAGCTGCAAATACCTTGCTTTGTCCCTTTCTATCCACAAGCACCAACAGCATACACTGCACTTCTGGATCGTGATCAGTAATACAAGAGAACTGAGGGACTGAGACTAGAAGGGAGAGGTAGAACAGGCACTCAGTGGATCTTTGATAGATATGTGTAGTTAACTTTCCTGTTTCCCCTCAGTGAGCCTCAGTTCATTCCAAAACCCTCAAGCTTGGGAGTCTAAAACTAAGAACACACGAACATAGAAATTACATCAGTTCTGTGGTCCCTGTAATCCAGTACCTGCCAGAAAAGCAGTCAGCACTGCCACCTCTAAATTTTTAGATAAATTGGGTCAAACAGCTCCTATGAGACAGAGGTGGCATAACCTTCTTCTTCCTGCAGCTATGGGTTTTTCTCCTAGTATCACAGTCGTGAAGTCACTGATGTTTTCAAGCAAGAGGTTTTCTGTCTTCTTCCAAACTTTATTTCAATGACTGTAAGCAGGGAATTTGTCATCCATAAACATGCCCTATTCCTTCTTGGAATCTAAGCAAGCCCAGCCCTGCTAGCATTCTGCATTTCACACTTCATGTGATATGAAAACGGATTTTTTTTAATTAGTTTTGAATTTTCTGCCTGTCAGTTTTGTTAAATGTTTCCCTGCTCTTTGGTTATGAAACAGGGAAAAGAAAAGGCTCTGGGTCATGCTCTTGATAACACTGGGGTGGAAGCCAGTTCCACCTTTGACTGGAAAATGATAGATCTGCCTCTTTGGGTTTAGGAGCAGGGAAGGGGAACTGGCCCTGTGTGTCTTATGGATCTTCTCTGGAGGGCCATGTGAGTGATGTAAAGAGCCCAGCTGCTCTGCTCTGCTCTGCTTAGAGATGCTGCCCAAGCTGCCTGAGAACAACTGGAGCTTTCTGGAGCTGGGCTGGGAAGTGGGGAGGCAGCATCTGGGCAGGCTCTGTGCTGTCAGTCCTGCACCCAGAAGGGAGGTACAGCCCAAGCCTGGTGCCCAAGTACGACATCCTTAAGGACCCCATTTAAAGCTTAAGGTATTCTGAGAGTCTAGGACAGATGCCTATGTTACTCTAACACACCACACAGTACAATACAGTCCTTGGGCTTTGCAGTCCCTTTCTGATGTGGATGTCCAGGTAGCTCCATGAAAGCTGGTGTGCTTTTATGCTGGACATCACCATGCTTCACTTCCAAATTCCACTTTTCTTGATAGTTAAACGATATAAATGTGTCCTTAAGCAGACTTGGTTTTGAAGTATATACCATATCCTAGATTCTGGCTGTGTAGTTTGTCTTTATGTAACATTTCCAGTTTGGAAAATTCAGGGACATGTTTCCCAGTCTCTTCTCAATGGGCTAGATGAGTAAGTCTACAAGGCTTGTTTACCTTTTTTTATTTTTTAAAAAATATTATTATCCTGCATTGGTCTTGTATAATGATCCCATCAGATCTCACAGGCTACACAGGGCTGGGTTTGGTCAGTGCTTAATGGCAGGACCACCACGAGATGTGCTTGTGCACAGATGTGCTGCAGGAAATGGGCTCAGGGATGCAGCTGGTGACACTTTTCTTGCTGGAAGGATATGTAAAATGCAGGCCTTGCTCAGTGGTGGTAACTATAAATCTAGTGGCACTTCACGTAATGGGCACTTTTGGCAGCTTGTTCACGTAATTTTTTCCAAAATTCCCTTTAAATTTAAAGTGAGAGATAGTTTCCATAGGACACATCTTTCCACCTGCCCCTATGTTCAGGGTTTAAGTGCAGTTCACTGTTGCTCTGCACAGTTAGAAGTAGCAACATTCTGCCTGAGAACAAAGCCTATCTGGGCTTTATTTTAAAGCAAAGTCATCCATGCATGTACATAAACATTACAAAGATACAAAAATAGCAGGTGTTGCTCCATTTACTTTAGTTTCTAGTTGCTCTCTGGATCTAATTTATTTTAAAAGTGCATCCTAAAATATTTGCGAGCTTTAAGAAAAACGTGACAGGAAAAGGAAAGAAACTGAGTTTCACTCAATTCACTAGATACAAAAGAAATATTTAGCTTGCTTTGTTTTAATGATACTAACTGTGGAAATTAAAACCAAAATTATCTAGGACAAATTCTGCTGGCCCTAAGACCTGCCTCTCATGTCATTCATTGTGAATTATTAAATTAATGTTCCTGTGCATATTGCAAATGGAGGCCTTGTTTCCTGCCAGCTGATTGCATCTTCCCTCAAGAGAGCCATGCCTTTAAGCTGTGAATTGCATCCTATCTCGCCTTAAAGATCCAAAATAACAAAATGCATCTTTAATAATTAAAAGAATGTTATTCATTACCTCACCATTTTTACTATAACACTGAATTATCAAGCAACCGTTTGCTTTTGCAGTATGACTAGAAATGTTAATTTTTCTGTTCCAGTTCTCTTTTCAGTTTAACTAGAAAAAGTGAGGATTATTTCAGTGTTGGCTGGAAAGAGGATCTGAAACAGACAACTGATTATACTGAGGTTGTCTGATCTCAGCAGCAGCCTTGAGATCCAGAGTAATTTAACCTAATTGCAGCCAGACTAAAATCAGGCAGCAGCAATTTGGATCAGATACCTTTTGTATTCTGCTATATTTTAAAGATCAACTTTTCTCTAATATGCCTTCAAAACTCAGTCTTCATTGGAACTATTCTAACTTGTCCTTTGCAGTATATTGGCACTATTTTATCTTCCACTGACACTGATAAGGACTGTCCCAGCTAAAAGCTGTGACTGGCAGTCACACAGTCCTAATGTCTTACACAGGAGAGGCTTTGAACTCTGTGGGAGCAGCAGGAGAGAGCAGCATTGCCTGCTGATGAGGCATCAGTTGTGTTTCTACTCCCGTTGCAGAGTTTGGAGTTGAATACACAGTTTATTGAAGACCCAAAGAGTGCCAAATGGTCTAGTGCATTTATTACAAGAAAAAGATTCCCGAACAGTTACTGGGTTGATAGCCACCAGTGTGTCACTGATCTCTCCCTTAGCCCACTTTGCTAGCATCTTTGTTTTTTTTTTTTTTTTCCCTGAAAGAAGCATGCTTTTAAAGCTAAGAATATATCTCCCTGTACTCAGTTGCTTTGCTATGGTGGTAGGGTTGTTCATGATGATAGTTTTAAAAACATTTCTCATCTTTCCTATAGGATACAACAGACTACGTTGCATATGTAGCAAAAGATCCTGTTAATCAGAGAGGTATGACAACGATTTTCAGATTGTTAAACACGTTTATATGATTGTTTTATCTGTGTCAAAGAATTGTTTGAGTTTTAAAGTAGAAAATGAACAGCTCAATATTCTGTGCAATTAATGACTTCCCTGTATGGGTACGTGTGATGGTATGCAGGCTGTGACTTTAAATGTCATCTTCTTTGTGCAACAGAGTGTGAATCTGCAGGTCAGCCTAAAGCTGTAGTGGCTGCTGACTCCGTGTAGGAGTACGAGCCCTCCCAAGCCAGCCTTGCCTAGGAAGGAGGAGCAGAGCTTGGCAAGGTGGGCAGCTGCCCTGCTCTTCAGTAATGTCCAGATGAAGAGCCTCATTCACTACCCTTCCCTCATCTAACCCAGACTACTGCCTATGTTGCTGGAGGGCATTGTGGGGTGAGACCTCCCCTCTGGAGCCTAACCCATGGGACAAAATCCCTTTCCATCACTCTCATTATTTGCCTGCAGTACAGGCCTTTGGCTGCTTCTTTCATGCCATACAGCTCTCAGAATGACAGAGCTGATGGCTATGGAGTTGGTAGTGGCAGCTTACAGGATAGCTCACTCTAAGGTGCCATGCATGGATGGCTCAGAAGATTCTTTTATTGAGTTGAATGTGGTAGTATGATTAAAAAATATCCAGAGCAATTTCCTTAGCGCATCAAAAATCTCAGTCTGTCTGATATCCTAAAGCTATCTAAATGCATAATTTCATTCCCAGTTTTTCTGCTGTAAGCAATATAGCTTGTGCCTTTATTTTCTGGTATAAAGTCCATTTACTTAATTAAAGTAAGGTGTCTCTTTGCAGCATGCCACATACTGGAATGCCCCAATGGGATGGCGCAGGAGGTGATAAACACTATCGGGCAGGCTTTCGAGCTCCGCTTCAAACAGTACCTGAAGAATCCAGCTAGCCTGGTTACGTCTAATGAAAGGTGAGCACATTCTCAGTCACCTAACTGACAGTTTCCTTCTCTTTAGTACTGTTTAGGAAAACAATATACTCCAAAGAGTGATCCACAAATAAGATGCTTTGGATATACTTTCTGGACATATGCTAATTGTAATATATGCTGTATGTACAGAGTATAATAGACTAAAATCAGCTTATTCCAGTGAACTTCATTGATTTCCATGACATTTGAACAGAAGCATAACACAGAATTTAGCTGTATTGCTCCTTAGCTAAAACAGCCTTCTCTTAAGTCATGCAAATAAGTTGAACAAATGTTCAAGTTCCTCTGGCCAGGTAAGCTCAGCTCCATAAACACTGAGCACGCAGACACACATACTGAGCCCAGTCCTGACCTATGCCAAGTTAAAGCTTGCTGCAGCTGTGGAAAGTGTGTGGTGGGGGAAAAAAGCCATTTTAATTCACCTTTCTGCTGTTCTGCTCATGCCCTGGCAGCAGTCTCAGATTCCACCTGGCGTGACTTACGTCAACCTCATCTACTGGAATAAACAGCCACCACTTGGCATTTTCATGTATGAAGCCCTGTCCTTGGCACATGGCTTAAAATATATGGCCTAGTTTAATTTCTGGATGGCAATTCCCCATTTCAATTTCCCCTTTTCCATTGCACTGGGAACACAGTTCTTGCTTTAGTTTATGGCTCTCCTCACAGGCTAGCCTTGCCTATTTTTCTCAGCCTTTTCTTTACTGTGACACCAAATTTGATTGACTGCTACCTCCCAGGGGTAGGTGAAGCTGTACTGCTGGTTCACTGTGTCCTGAGCTCCGGGAGTCATGATGCTGTCACCGGTGTGGTGCCGGATGCAGTGCAACAGAACTGGCTCCATCACAGATCAGCAGCCCCATCTCCAGCTCGTATTTACTTTGTGGTATATAGTAGTTCTTGCCATTGCTAATACTGGTCTGTTCTTCCTGGGGACAATAGCCAAAGGAAGAGCCTTTCCTCTGAAACTCTGCTAGTTTACACCACAAGTAAATCAGAGCAAGAAGAGGAGGAGGCTAATTAGATTTCCTCCTTGAGCCTCACCCGCAGCCAGCCTTGGAGAACGGTCCTTATATTGCTGTGTGAATGAGTCACTTCCAAACTACTATGAATCACATAATCAAATACTTGCACTGCATATCACATAATCAACTACTTGAACTTTATCTCTTTCCTGCTTGAGGCCTTTTATCCAATTATATTCTTATTAAACAGAGAAGTAAGATTTGAGACGAGTTTTTTATTTCAGGTCCGGAGACAGTACAGGAAGCACCTAGTGGTTTTGCAGTGTATCAGCTGTACATTTAAACTATCATCGTTCTGGTTTAGCTCAAGAAAAACACTGGGTGTTCTCTGTGTCATTCAGTGTTTTGTTCAAGCTGAAACAGACCAGTTATATTGATTATGGTTATTAAAATCGGGATATATTCCACTCAGGAAAACTACTTTTTTTCTTTTTCTTTTTTTTTCGGTAGCAATATCTGATTTTCTAAAGCAGTTGCAGGCTTGTCTAACTAAATGCCATGAGGTTTTAAATTTCTATTGTAAATGTCCATCTCTCCCACAGCCCCAGCAATCTCTAGATTTACACAGTTGAGACAAGAAGCCAGAGGAAGCATTTTTATGGTTTACATTTTGGACACCTTAATAACATTAAAAGTTTCAATAGGTGGCTCTTACATTTTCAAGTCAAAGAAAAGGGATCTGGGCTACCTGGTGCTAAGAAGCTGGTTGTGCATCCCTGCACCCCAAACTGCAATGACTCCATTTGTAATTCAGGAAGAAGTAACTGCAAAACTAAACAGCTCTGAAAGTTGAGGCCCAAAGCCCTTTACAGCCTCCAAATGGCTAATCTGTGCATTGTGCAATGTGCAAGCACTGGGGATGCTGGCCTACACTAGAAAGCAGTTGATTATATCAGTCGCTTTTTTTTTCCCCCCATCTTTTTTCAGCGAGGCAGCAAATGCTAATGGGTCAGCTGGGAATTCACAGGAGAGGGAGGATCATGAATATTACAACGAAATTCCAGGGAAAGAGCCTCCCACCGGTGGAGTGTTAGACATGCGAATGAGAGTGCAAACAGACCAAAGGGCTAACTGGCTCCTACAGTGCAGAAAGCAATATTACTTGGTGAGTACATCATCTTCTGGGATAACTATTCACTGCCTATTATGGGAATGAATAATAAAGTGTTACTGTGGTGTAACGCATGGCATTAACATCAGAACCAGTTCCTGATTAGCCTGGGAAAGGGTTTTTTAGGTTAGATTTAATGATGCTTAATACATAATTGAATCCCAAAGCACTTTCTGAATATTAACTGGTTTGTCCTTAGAGTACTTTTAGAAGACCAAGTAATATTCCCTTGTTCACTCGTTAGCTGTGGGAAGGAAAAAGATACAGATTTAAATGGCTTGTCTGAGAGAACATCTGCAAAATCTGTGCCCTCCTGGTTGTGATCTGATGAACATTTCATCCTGTCCATTATGCTTTGCAAACTATACATACAATATTAACTGATCGCAGTGTATATACATTAATTACTCTTAGAATGTTTCAGGCAGCTTTGTTAAACCAGCCATAGCAGTGAGAGATGGATATAGAGTCGGGGAATAAAAACCAGTCAGTCAGGGAGTGAAACCGGTCAAGTTCAGACTGGCTGCACAGGCTCCGATGTCTGCTGTACGAGTCCTTGGAAATACTGGCATTCCCTGCTCAGAGGGAGCATTTCCAGGTGTGCCTGCTGGGATCAGTTGGTGCTGTCCAAAACATTGCTGCTCTCAGTGTTGTTGTTGTTGCAACTGCTCCCAGGTTCCTGTGCGTTGATGTGCTACTGCTCCATCCATTTTTCACTTTCTTAACCTAAACCTTATTCCACATCTCTGATGTGGGCCTGGTGGTCTCTGACTCCCCACAGTTCTCTAAGAAGGTGTTTGGCTGTATCCTGAGTTTGTATTTGAAGCTCGCCAGAGCTGTTGCAAGGAGTTACCCTGCAGCATGTAAACATAAATGTCTTTTTAGCATGGAGTGTTTCTTTTTGGTTTTCTGTTCAGTTCTGATGACCTTCTAGTGCTGCTCAGACAACTGTGTGATCATTTCACTTTCAAACCACAATGCCTGTAGTTAGTTCTTATTGCAAGGAACATTTATAAGAAAATGTGACCTTTCTTACCTAGGAGTTATACTGTATATACTAAATCTTAGGTACATAAATGGGCAGATAGCAGTATCTGTGAAGTCTGAGTATGTCCAGGCATGATGCCCCGTGGAAAGAAGAGCATCAGCATGAAATACTATTTGAGGAGATAGGATTTTTTTGGTGAAGAAGATACATGTAGTTATATATATCCCAATTAATTGGTGCATGGATGTTTTAAAGTTACCAGAGCTTTCTCAAGGACTAATTTACATGACTGGTTTTACTATTTTTTCTACAGACAGGCAGTCCAACATTCATCAATATATATGAAAATTGTCCAGAAGAAAACAAAACTGTGGGTATGTATTCTGTTCTCCTTCTTATGCATATGCAGAATTAATTAGAGCAGACTGCTTGGAAGAGCTGCCCTTTGGCTTTCGATACAGTGGTGAAAATTGTTCTACTTAGCGGGTCACTTCTAGTTCCCTAGATGAAGGGCAGACAAAAAAGCCTTACAGCTTTTCTAAAGGCCACTAATCTGTCTTCGTGTCTGCTGGCAGACTTACCCATTTTACTTGTCATGATACTGTACAGTAGCTCTTTGTTTTTTTATTCTCTTTCATAGTCTCTGTTGTTTTATTCCCTTTCATACACTTTGAAAAGGGAAGATACTTTGTTACTTATCAGTCTCTGAAAATACCCCTTCTGCCTACAAATGCTCCATGAGGCCCAAACTATCAGCACTGGGTGGTTGTTCCAGCACAGCCTGTGCCCTGGTGTGCCTGTGATTGTGCCCTTCCCTTGCCTTGGGCAGCTTTGTGCCCGAGATCAATTTGCCTTTAGCTCTCTGAGGCCCCTGGAGATCACTAGTCTCCCTCCCTTTCTGGACTCCCCTTGCCCCAGCTGATGCCCTGAGCACATTTCCTCAGCTCCTGTCTTTCACTGCATAATGTGGTCCTTTTGGAATTCCCACCTGCGGTGCTCTAAAGCGATCCATTACACTGTCTGCAGGGGATAGTTCAGTTTCTTGTGTTATTTCTGATTTAAGGAAAGGAGAATCAAATGGTTTCTACAAAGAGGGTGAACAATAAAAGAATGAATGAATAGATCTATGAATAAAATGCTTGCTAAAGAGCAAAAATATGCATGCTATTTGGCTAGCTGAATTGCTATTATTTTCATACCCTGCAGGGGATATTCTGTGAGCCTGTTCCTAGGCTTGGGTCCTAACCTGACAGATGTGGCTTTGGCTCTCCAGGCAGAGCCACAAAGCACCAACCTCCTCCATCTTCCCTGCTCCACCAGAATAGCAAGAGAGAGAATTGTTCAGCTTCCCACAAACTTTTATTTTTTTGTGGTGCAGAGGGGAAGTAAAGGGCTTTGCCACAAACAAACCTATATGGCTTGTGTCTCTGTAGAGTCATATGTATTAATTTCTTTTCAGTCAGTGGGGGGTTCAGTGCTGACACTAACTGAAGCAGAACTGAATCAGTGTGGAACATTTTTTCAAACTTCATTCTAACTCATTTTGGATAGTGTACCTTATGCCTCCTAGCCATAAGGAAAAACAAGTTCATCTGCCAACTTTTCCTTATGAAGTATTTTAATGGGATATATAAGGACAACAATGTTCCTATTTCAGCTTTTACAGTTATTTTGAGTTTAAAATTAAAAGAGAGAATGAAATCTGTGCATACTATATACTAATTGCAGGTAACTGTGGTGAAAGATCGCAGAAGACAAAAAAAGAGGCAACATTATTGAAGCCTGCCTACAAACCAGATCTTTTTGATGACCCATGTTACATCAACACACAGACCCTGCAGCCTGCAGTCTGTACAGCCCGCGGTACAGCAACGGCACAGAGCCATGGGAGCCCACTGCGTCAGGCCAGTAGGTTCCCACTGCAATACCATATCCTTCTAAGCTTTGAAAAGAGAGAGGGTCTTAGCAGTGGCATGCGTGGAGAAAGATTTTGGTTTCCCCATAAAAAATCTAGAAAGGATAGGATGGGGAAGAAATCCTTCCTGGTTATGTGTTTTTTTTTTTCTTTGTTAAATTCAAGACAAAGGGGATTAAAGTAGTGATGACAAGCAAGCAGAGTAACCTTTCCTCTTCTGTAGTTGATTGATGACAATAAACAGTATTCCATAGATAATAAGCAAGTCTACAGGATGGTGTGAAAGCTTGGGAATGGACCATACATCAAGTAAGAGCGTTTTCCTATATGCTCAAGATCTTAATCACTCTAAGGTGGAAGTGGCCTCAGATGCCTTTGCTTCACAGGCAGTAGCATGCAAGGTCAAAGTCAGATTGTTACAACCATCTTTTTCCAGTTCCTGCATAAGTGACCATGGAATCCCATCCAACAATTTTTAAATCAAACTGTTTGATCAGCAGTATCTGTTAAATGTATGTCAAATTATCTTGATTTACAGACTCAAAGTGATGGTTATCCATAAAGTGACTATATAGTTGCTATGAATTGTCCCCATTATGGAAGATACCTTATTTATTAGATTTGCCTTTTATAGTTTCCCACCGAGTATTTTCTCTGTCAGAGTTGTCCCTGCAAAAGAAAGTGGGCAAAGGACTGCACAGAACCACGGTAAAGGAAATCTGTGACCTTTGAGACTTTTCCAGCCCCAGGCTGTGTTATGCTTTAAAAGGAACTGGCTGTATCCTGAGGAGCATTAGGTTGCACAATTCCATTGAAGAAGTGGTATCCTCTTCTTTTCCTTTGAAAATTCCTGCCTGTGAATTATATGCAGTATGACTGGCTGTATCCCAAACCACCCAGTTTTGTTAGTACATTCAGTAATTGTTCGTTTTTTCACAGCAGATGCATCATGCTGTAATCCTTCCCTCCTGGCTACGTTGGCCCTGTTGTCTTACATTCCTGCACAGAGCTGGAGCCATTCAACACGAATCTCCCAATGAACCATGGCAATCTCTTCAGAGCTTGCTAAGGAAGAAAGAAAAACTAGATCTTAAAAAAAAAAAAAAAGGCTAAAACTCAACAAAAATTTTCATTTTACAGGCAACATTTGAATTTTTAATACAATCAAAGACATACAAACTCAAAACAGTAGAGCATCAGAAAAATTCCTGTTTCCAATCTGTGTTGCCTAGCAACCCAAAGCTTTCCCATTGAAGGTATGGGAGGAGATGGTGTGATAATTTTACCTAATGCGCTGGCGAGCTGTCAGCATTCATGTGTGCACGTTCTTACAGTTTGTAAGCTTGGTTTGACCACAGCTTCAAGGCTGAACCGTTTGAAATTTTAAATTCTTATAAAAATACTGTCTCACATCCTTTTAGGATGAAGTTCCAGATGCCATGTCCAGTACATTCCCTTTCATTTAATTTTAGAGTTACCGGAAGCTGTTCAGCAGAGTGCCACAAGCAACACAGCTGGTCTCTCTGTTCTGCCACAAATAAAGCAACAGCTAAAGAATGAAGATTGTTACCATGGCAAATTAAACAGGAAAGCAGCAGAGAGCCTCTTAGTCAACGATGGGGATTTTCTGGTGCGAGAGAGCACAACATCACCTGGTCAGTATGTCCTCAGTGGACTTCAGGGAGGGCAAGCAAAGCATCTGCTCTTGGTGGATCCTGAGGGCAAGGTAGGAACACTTCATATACTGAAATTTTAGGGCTGCTCAGATATTTCAGTCAAAATGCATGGCTGCATTCCAGGAAGTGGAACTGACCTGATTCCATCCAGGTTAATTTATATTTAGCCAATGACTTCAGTACGTTTGAAAGTTCAGTTCAAGAACTTATAAGCATTGAAGTACTGTGGAAGTAGAAGTGAGGTATTTAAATGTTGTTGTTAGTCCAGGTGCTGCTGATTATTTTATACAGTTAATACATCCTTTGAGTCATCATTATATTGCTAGAAAAAAGCCCTAACATTAGATAATGCGAGTAACAAACTTTTGGATACAGAGAAGGTAGAGCTGTTTTTTTGTCACTTCAATCCTCTTCTAGCCCTGAGCAGAAGTGAATAGCACTCTTGAGTAACATCTCTGAGGAGAGTAAACCAGAAAAGTAATCCTCAGGAAAAAAATATATATCACTTCTGTGGAGAAAAAGAAAAGAGTGGTTTCATTCCCCTTAGCTGAGTCAGCCCAGTTTACATGCAGCCTCCTTAACTCTGCCCTCTGCTTTCTGCGTCAGCTAATGGTAGGTCCAATGATGGGTCTGAGTTGCTGTCTACAGCGTAATAATCCTGCTCCAGTGAGTTCAGTGGCTTCGACACCTTTTGACTTTAAGTAGGCTCATGTCCAACCAGTTATAAGCACAATCTAATATAAATATATTCTTTTGCTTCTTTTATTAGGTGAGAACCAAAGACCATATATTTGATAGTGTGGGTCATCTTATTCAGTATCACATGGAAAACAATTTGCCAATCATCTCTTCTGGAAGTGAAGTGAGCTTGAAGCAGCCTGTAAGGAAAGAGCCTAATGTGGCACACATGCAATATCACAAATAATCCCTTGGATCTCACAAATCCCAAAACGATTCATATTTGAAAACTGTACCAAGAACTTCCTGCTATGAAGACAATTCAGAAAAGTATAGACTGCACTTTCTGCTGCTGTTCCAGAAGATACCCTTTTGTGTGTGTATGTAAGAATATATGTATATGTGTATATCTATGTAGATCTATAGAGATCAACAAGCATAGTTATATAGATATATATAATCTTAACGAAATTACACCTTCAGAGTGTGAGATTCATTTGTGAGAAGGTATTTTAGACATGCACAAATGTCACTTTCAAGGTCATACTGAATCAGTAACTATTTAAAAGCACAATTAAACCTCTACATGCAAAAGCTCACTTGAACGAACTGCTGGAACATTAGTACGTGCCTTTAGCATAGAGTTATTGAAAACCAATATTATTTATACTGAATTAGTTTTGGGTGGTTAAACAAACATGTCTAAGATTTTAACTGTTTGCCAAAACAAATACAATTTGAATACTACTAAAATGCCATCTGCTTTCCATAGACACTAACAATTTCATTTTGCTTGTAACAGCACTTTACTAGCAAGTAACATTTGCAATGAACAGCATTCACAATATGGAAAGGTTGTCTGGTTTCTTAATCACTTTTTATCACTGACTACTCAAAGATTTTAGATGATGCAGCATTTACAAAGTTGAAATTAATATATGTAATATAATTTTGGAATAGAACTTGTTAAAGGACAAGCATGCTAGATCCTAATATTTTTGTCTTGCATATGATTTTACTATTATGACCAATTAATACTGGAGACATCTCTTTTTAAAGGTAGGCAAAATATATTTTCATTGATTGCATAGTTGTTTACAAACTAGAGAAGCTGAAAAAAACTAACTAGACATTTTGAGACAAAACTATTTAAAAGACTGTTTGAACTTTGCATGAGCCCTTACCAATGTTCTTTCCAAAACAAGTTACAATTTTCCCTTCCTTCATGTAGAGTCCATTTGTTCCTAAACATGGAAAGAAGTCTTTTAAAAGAAACCTATTAATTGTTTTGCCACAATAAATATTCTAAATAAGAGCAATCCTATTCAGAGTGAACAGCTATTTCTTGGCCTTCCTGTTGAAGAAAGATTTAATAAGTAACTAAAGAAAGACAAGTGGGGAGGATTTGGGGAATGAGCTGGTAGTCTGGGTGACAGCCTGAGAAAGTTGTCCTTTCAAGATAAGCAATGTCTTCTGGCACGAGTAGGGACATTCTCTCTGTCTCCCAGCCCACCAGCTCAGTTCCATAAGGCAGACAATTGTTGTGGAGTTCAGCAACTGCTGGAAGACTTGGCTATAATAAAAATAGATTCTGTTCTTTTGCCTGTGTTCATGTTAAATGGGACACTATAATAAGAACTCTTTCCTCTAGAAATCAAGAGGTGTCACATATACATAAAATTATTGAAGACATAAGCCTCCTTGGGGGCAAAGTATGATGTAAAAAGAGCCACACTTAGTGCTGACTAAAAAACATCCTTATTCTTATTCTCAGCTAATTAAATGTCCTTCCTTGATAATAGCATGATTAACATGCTCAATTACATGTACTGAAGCAGTGAGAAGCTTTAAAACAGTAGTTGAATTCCTTGCTAGTAGTCTGGCATTACTGATACCTCAAGCCTTTGGCCTAAAAGCTCAAGGTTATGCCTGTTCTACCCTGTGTGAGGGTTTCTCCTGTGAAGAAGGTCCCCAGCAAGAGCTCATGGTCAAGCTTTGCGCCACTGCAGGGGTAGTGGGCAAGAAACTAACTGGAATATTACATCCCTGCAGAGTACCCTTTCTATTCTCATATCTTGCCAAACTTCATATGCTTGACGTGACTTTGTTGAGCAAAGAAGGAAGAAAAAACAGCTACTTCTGTGGCATGGCAAGGAGAGAAAAAGACCTGCATAGGCCAGTTTGGGTTTTTTGATTTTTGCATCAAAGCTGAGTTTTATGACAGGTCATGGAGTTCTGCACATTTTCCTTCTATCTCTATTTTTAGTACAAATCAAAGTTATTTGAGACTACAATAATAGAGTTTGGAGTTGTGAAAGTATATGGTCAAAGTTGTGTGACTTTACCAGTCAAGATGCTGACTTAGGGACTTGTTTCACTTCCTCAATTTTTGGTTTACTGATGGATAAAAACATCCAGACCCACTGTGCGGTGTTTGGATCACAGTATGATGCAGTCTAAGTCCCCTCCTATTAATGTCACTAGCTTAAACAAAAGTAAGACCAGAATCTTTTTTTTTGTTGCCCTGCATCTTTTTTATGTGTCTGAAGCAAAACTGTGAAGGAGAGGGAGAACGAAGATAACTGAGTTCTAGTGCAATGAAGGAGTATCTCAAAATGTGCTGATATGAAAGCAAAGAACCCATCTTCTAATTGCAGATACAATTCAAAAGCAACACATCCATACATTACAAACATCCTAAATTTCTAGAATAAATCACATCCTTTCTTCTGGAGCTGGAAATAGGAACTTGTGTTTCATTTTCTAACACTGATGTGCCTTCGCTTAATGCTGGTTTTAGGCTTAGTGGACCAGCCATCTCATGTCGAGTACACTGTCAGCTCCTGTCTCAAAGTGTTAGAAGCAGTAACTACGCTAAAAAGAAGAAGCTATCTGCATTTTGGAACGTTTTCCAAAATACTGTTCTTGAGAAAATTTACATGAATTGTCAGGCACACTTAGACTTATTTCATGTGTGTGAAAATGGTGAGGAGAATTGGTTAATCTCTGTTCTACCGCTTACTAGAAACCTCTGGGGGAAAGCGCCAGTTTTGCCTGTTATCTCACAGTCAGAAGGCATAGCACGTCGTTTCTTTGCAAGGCTCCTATGAATTTCCCTGGAAGCCGTTAACACACGTATCCGTTCGCTTCCGTGAGTACCAATCCTGTACGCAGCGCCCCAAACGCCTCTGTGCCAGCGCCGCTCTCCTGCTGAGGGCCAGTGTCGCCAGGTGGAGCTGTTACCCGCCTGCCTCCCCGGAACAGTGCCCAGGGCCCGAACGCCACCATTTTATTACTGATTTTTAAACCCTGCGGAACGCATTTCTCCACCCCGAGAGCCCTGCAATTTTTCGGCCCGGCGAGAGCGGGCCCCGCAGCAGAGCAGCCCCGCCCGCACCCCA